TTGGCTAGGATTTTGGTGAAGATTTTTTTTGTCTAAATTCGTGAGGTATATTGGTCTCTAGTTTTCTTTGCCTGGTTTTTGTATCTGGTTTATGCTTGCTTCATTAAATGAATTTGGGAGGATTCATCATTTTCTATGTTCTGGAATAGTTTGAGTAGGATTGGTGGGTGCCAGCTCTTCTCTGAATGTTTGGTAGAATTCTCCAGTGAAACCATCTGGGCCAGGACATTTTCTCATTGGTATTTTTTTTATGACCTGTTCAATTTCTTCTTCTTCTTCTTCTTCTTCTCCTTCTTCTCCCCTCCCCTCCCCCTCTGCCTCCTCCTCATCCTCTTCTTCCTTCTTCTTCTTCTGTCTGTTCAAATTTTCTACCTCAGTAGAAATGTAGTTTAGGTAAGTAATATGTTTCCAAAAAATTGACCATCTCGTCTAGGTTTTCATATTTGTTGGAGTACAGTTCTTTATAGTATCCTGATATTATCCTTTTTATTTCTGTTAGTTCTGTTGTGACATCACACATTTTATTTCCTTTTTGTATTATTTGCATTTTTTCCTTTGTTGAATTTGCTGGTGTTTTGTCAAATTTATTAATCTTTTCAATGAACCAACTTCTAGTCTTATTGATTCTTTCTGTTGCTTTTCTGTTTTCTATTTTATGTATTCCTGATTGAATCTTTATTATTTCTTTTCTTCAGGTCACTATAAGCTTTTTTTTTTTTTCTGTTCTTTTTCTAATTTTAGAGATGTTGGGTTAAGGTGTTGATTTTTGGCTCTTCTTTTATAATATGTGCATTTATTGCTATGAATTGCCCTCTGATCACTGCTTTTGTTATGTCCCAAAGATGTTGGTATGTTGTGTTTTCATTCTCATTTGATTCAAGGAATTTTTTTATTTCATTTTTTCTATTACTCAGTAGTTTTTAAGGAGGGTGTTGTTAAGTTTGCATGTATTTGCTTTCTTTTCCTTCATCTTCCTGTTGTTGATTTCTAATTTTGTAGCATTGCAATTTGAGAAGATGCTTTGCAGTGTTTCAATGTTTTTAAGTTTATTGACAAGCCATGGTATTTTCAATAGCCTCATATGTATGTGAGAGTTGGACAATGAATAAGGATGACCACAGAAGAATTGATGCATTTGAATTGTGATATTGGCAAAGAATATTGAATGTACAGTAGAATGCTAGAAGAATGAACCAATCTGTCTTAGAAATACAGTCAGAATGCTCCTTGGAAGAGAGGATGGCGAGATTTTGGTCATGTTGTCAGAATGAGCCAGTCCCTGGAGAAGGATATTATGGTAGATAAAGTAGAGGGTCAGTGAAAATGGGGAAGACCTACAATGAGATGGATTGGCACAGTGTCTGTGATGATGGGCTCAAGCATGGCAATGTTTATGAGGATTGCACAGGACCAGGCAGTGTTTCATTCAGTTGTATATACGTTCACTATGAGTCAAAACCAATTTAACAGCAGCTAACAACAGCAACAACTTAGGAAATTCAGCATTTCCTTCAATTCTGAACATAGTTCATAAATCCCAGTAATAGTAGCAATATTTGTGACTTTATCACCTATAGAGAACCCAGATATTTTTATATTATATTACAGTTTTTGCAGATACTTTGAAATATTATTTCATTATCACTATTTAAAATTTAGGGTAGTTATTAACTCTTGTTATTTAAAGCATTTGTATTTCCCATTCTGCAGTGTAGTAAATTACTTTGTGTGGCTTTTCTACCCATAAGTCTTTGTAAACTCCAAGGTGGGATTTGCTATGAGCAACTGAGGAGCTCCTGATTGCGAAGGTGTCCACCTGGAGTATTTCTGTTGGGAGTGGCACAAAACAATGGTCTGGGAGGTGCCCACTCTCTCTCAGGTGCTTGGAGTTCTGATGCTATAATTGTCTAGTTTGACCACCCTGCCGGGCTCAAAAGGAGGCCTCCTAGAGGCAGAACTCTCTGTGACCGCTGGTTGAGGAAGATGTGCTGCTGAAAGAGACACGGGCTCCTGAGACACGCGTTGCTGGGAGAGATGCAAGAGACAGGCATTGCTGAGTGAGACACTGAGGGACCAGTACTGCTGGGAAAGAGACTGTGAGAGACTGTTGGCTGAGGGATGGTGGGCTGGGAGAGAGACAGCATTTTTTTCCTGAACTTGAATTATAGCCTGTGATGCTTCCCTAAAAAACCCCATAATCTGTGAGTTCTGTGTGGCCACTGCAGTGAATTATCGAACCCAGGAGAGAGGTGGTGGTGCTTTGGGAGGAACGGTTAGTGAAACGGCTGGAGGAAGGCAGCATGTCTGGTCTTGTAGGAATAGGCCTTGGGTTACTGCTGGTAATCCTGTCTTCTTCTTGTAAGGTTAGAGAAGGTCGGAACATGTGGCCTCCTTGCCGTTTTTGCACATTCCCACTGCCATTGAGTCGATTCTGACTTATAGCAACCCCCATTGGGTTTCCAAGGCTATAAATCATTATGGAAGTAGAGCACCTCATCTTCCTCCTATCTCCTCTGGTGGAGCAGCTGGTAGGTTTGAATTACTGGCCTTTTGGTTAGCAGTCCAATGTCTTACCTGCTGTGCCTGTGTGCTACTGTATCATGAATTTACACTTATTTTTTTGACATTGTAATACCTATAAACCAAACCAAACTCACTGCCATCCAGTCGATTCTAACTCATAGCGACCCCCTTTGGGCTCTGAGGTGGTAAAGCTTTACAGAAGTAGATTGCCAAGTCTTCCTTCTGTGGAGTGGCTGTTGGGTTTGAACTGCCAGCATTCTGGTTAGCAGTCAAATGCCTTAGGTGCTATGCCACCAGAGAGTATATATTTCAGTGTAATTGGCCTCTTTTGTAATCTTATATATTTTATTTTATGCATTTAAAAATATTATTAGAAGGCACCCAGACTTCACCAGACTGCCAAAAGGGTCCAAGGGACAACAAAAATTAGAACCCCTGGTTTAGTTCCATTTATAGTTATTTTTGTGGACCAAACAAAACTTATGTTAAAATCTAAAAAATAATCAACTGAATACATTTAAATGCTAGTTTTTTACACTTTTGATTGATATTCATGTATAAGATCATATTTTTTATTTAGCAATTTTTGTTCCTTAAAATGTGCTTTATGGTGAGAGAACCAGAAATAGTGAAATTCATTTAAAATTGTTGATATTAGTTGCCACTGAATCTAATCCAGCTCATAGTGACCCCAGGCATGCAGAGTAGAGCTGCTCCACAGAGTTTTCAAGCCGTCACCTTTTGGAAACAGGTTGGCAACCCTGTCTTCCGAAGCACTGCTGAATGGGTTCAAACTGCCAACCTTTAGGCTAGTGTTTGAGATCTATTAATGACATTATCCCACACATATTTCACATCATAGGCATTAACCTAAAAAAAATTAAATTTAAAATTCTTGCTGCTGCTTCAGAACAGTACTCATCTTTTAAGCTAGAGAAATTGTGAGGAAGGTAATCTGGATAAGTAAAACCATGAATAATGGGATTTTTAAAATAAATGCAGTTTGGCTATTTTATTCAAGTTGACTTAATTGTTTGCCAAAAAAGGGAAAAAAAAAGTCCTAGCCAAACTGTCAATGTTGTTGTTGTTATGTGCCGTCGAGTTGGACCCGACCCATAACGACCCCTCCTTGGGTTGCCAAGGCAGTATCACTACAGAAGTAGATTGCCCAACCTTCCTTCTGAGGAGTGGCTGGTGGGTTTGAACCGCCAGCCTCTGGTTAGCAGTCAAGTGCCTTAGGCACTATGCTACCAGAGCTCCCCAAACTGTCAATGACTAGATACAATTAATCTGAACTAATAGTTTAATTATTTGTTATCAACATAATTCTTCCAATGCATCTGGAAGCAGATGGTCTTGGAAGCATTTGTTTATTATAACATCATTCATTTCAAAACATTTATTGAAATCTTTTATGTACAGAGGTATATTCTGAGCTCTCAGGGCATATGTAACTTCATTTGTTGTTAGCTGCTGGTGAGTTGGGCCAGACTCATGGAGATCGGATGTACAGCAGAATGACATTCTGTCTGGTCCTGCGCCACCCCCATGATCAGTGGCAAAGCAGCCTTCTGTGATTTGTAGGGCTTTCATTGGCTGATTTTCAGAAGTAGATCACCAGGCCTTTCTTCCTAGTCTTAGTCTGGAAGCTTTGCTGAAATCTGTTCAACACCATAGCAACACACAAGCCTCCAGTGACAGACTGCATGGCTGTGCATGAGGTATACTGACAGGGAATTGAACCCAGGTCTTCCACATGAGAGACACGAATTCTACCACTGAACCACCAGTGCCTCAGTATAACCTCATAATTTCTTCCATCAAAGCACATTCCCAATACATGATAGATTATAATACTTACCTAAGAATAAGAAAAGTATGGTATGTGGCAATGATAGAAATTTGAAAAGACAGATATTTATTAAGCATATGTAGACCACCAATTTACAAAAGGATATCAGGAGGCTTAAAAGTAAATGTAAAATGTTGTTGTTGTTTGCCGTTGAGTCAGCCCTGACTCATAGCGACCCCTCCTTGGGTTTCCAAGGCAGTATCACTACGGAAGTAGGATTGCCCAACCTTCCTTCCGAGGAGTGGCTGGGGGGTTTGAACGCCAGCCTTCAGGTGAGCAGTCAAGTGCCTTAGGCACTATGCTACCAGAGTAAAATAAGACAAGGATAAATACAACAGATTATTTTAGGTTGACCAATTCTCATACAGTTATAGCTATGTTGTTGTTGTTGTTATGTGCCGTCGAGTCAGCCCTGACTCATAGCGACCCCTCCTTGGGTTTCCGAGGCAGTATCACTACGGAAGTAGGATTGCCCAACCTTCCTTCCAAGGAGTGGCTGGTGGGTTTGAACCACCAGCCTTCTGGTTATAGCTATAGTACATTAATATCGATTTACTTAGCAAGCTTTTTATTTAAGAGCTGTGAAGTAAAAATGAAGTGAAACTATGTTTCTAATTGTTATTATTGTTTTCTAATTAGTACAGTAAAAATGCATTGATCATGACACACTTATTTCTACCAGTTACAACAAGTTAAATTAAGTTAGGAGAAAGTGGTCCCTCTTTCTTGATTTTTTATACAATGAAGAGGTCTGTTAGATTTCTGGGTATGAGGGACAACTAGCAATCCCACAGTGATTTCCACAATTTCTTGCCATGCGAATATATCCTTGATCACCAAAGTTGAGGCCCCAGCTTTAGAAAAAGAAATAAAACAAAATTACAAATAAATCATGTGACCAACTTTTAATCTCAGACTGTTTTTTCCCCTTAGTATATGAAAGTATATATGAAAAGCAGTAAATAATAATAATAATAAAATTGGATGAAATAATTTCTCCAGAGCTTTTAGGCAGTTTTCAAAGGGAAGTTTAGAAGGCTGTAGTGTGATACTGATAATAAACTTTTGATGCCTAAGGAAAACAATATAAGCACCAACTCAGTCTTTTAATCCTTCTGTTTTGTAAATATGTTTTCTGTAGGGAAAGTAATATTATTATCCTTTCCAAAGCCTATCTCCAAATGATTTTGCATGATAAGATCATGGGTGATGATTTTTTAAATCAAACTTAAATTCCTGTAAAGGACATCAATTAAATTTTGAGGAACTATTATCAAAAAGGAGCTCTGGTGGTGCAGTGGGTAAGGCATTTGGTTGTTAACCAGAAGGCTGGTGATTCAAATCCACCAGCTGCTCTATGGGAAGAAGATGAGGCAATCTACTTCTGTAAAGATTTACAGCTTTGGAAACCCTATAGGGGTCACTATGAGTGAGAATTGACTCAGTGGCAGTGTGTGTGTGTGTGTGTGTGTGTGTGTGTTTGGTTAATTATGGAAAAGGTATGGGGCAAGGGATTCTAAGATAAACAATAAAAAGTACAACTCGTACTTGTAAGAAAGTGAGTTCCCTGGTACTAGAAGTATTCAAACAGAGGCTAGCTGTGTCACTTGCCAGAGTTGTTGCAGAGGTACTTCATAGGTCAGATAAGGGTTAGAGCATATTATTGGTTCTCTGGCTTTTTGATTTCGTGGACTGTAGAGAATTTCAAAAGAATTTTGCAGATTGACATGAAATCACCGATTTTTCTATTTAGTAATTATAGATTTTTTGAAAATATAAAAGTTATATTTTGTAAAAGAAAGAACATTTTAACATAGAAAAATATTCAGAGGACATAATCTCTCAGGTTAGTCCTTTGAGGTAAATAAATATAGATTTAAGAAAACTCACCATGATATTTTAATTTTTCTCATTTTGCCACAGGCTGGTGGGAAAAAATTGGCAAATTCCTTATAGAAGAAATGATTTCTGAAGTCTTTTTATGATTCTGAGACTAAGAAATTTTAAGAGTACAAATAATTATGAGTCAGAATTCATTAAATGCTATAACTAGGCTACAAGTACTATGAGTAGTTAAGGAAAAGAAATTACATGAAGCAAGAGTTAACAGTAGAAATGTGCATTTGAAGATGATAAACAGATGATGAAGAGTATTAGTGATGGAGGGAAGAACATATATAAAAGCATGAAATTGAGAAAATGTCTAGTATGTTTAGAAAGCAGGAAGAAATTTAGTTGAGAGGAAAATTGGATGTCTTCAGAGAAGCAGTGGGAGAGGATAGAGTGCTGACTTAGGGAGTGTTGTGAACAGCTTAGAATGGTAGGCTGAGGAGTTTGTACTTCATTTCCACAGGCATAGAGAACATCAAGTTGATTCTGACTCAGAGTAACCCTACAGGGCAAAGTAGAACTGCCCTATAGGTTCCCAAGGATGTAAATCTTTACAGGAGCAGACTGCCTCATATTTTCACACGGAGCAGCTGGTGGGATTGAATGACCGACCTTTTGGTTAGTAGCCCAATGCTTTAACCACAAGAGCCACTTCAATTTAATAGGCAAAGGGAAGCCGCTGAAAATTTTTGCTCAAGGACTCAAAGGCAGGTTGTGTTTTTGCTTGCAATGGATAAATCAAGAAAGTGCGGGTTTATTGCAGGCAGACATGGCATATTTTAAGAGGTCTGTGCTTTAAGAGGCCTTAAATGTTCTAGTTAATCAGTCTTGCACTTTACATTATTCAAATCTTATTTTTATCTCTCTGTAGCATTTAATAGAGTTGTTCTCTCTCATTTAATTTCTCTCTTGTTTGTAGGACACTCCATGTTCTGATTTTCTCCTCCCTCTCTGGCCACTCCTTTTTATTTGAAATCCCTTTTATGCTTTCTTTTATTTAATTGCCATTGCCCTACTTAAAATTCTTTCATAGCTCTCATAACTTTAGAATAAAATTTGAATTTCATTTCACCTCTTACTAGTGGATGTAGTGCACTTTAGTAATCCCTTTGATAAGCAAAGCAGTAACAATAAATTCTGACCAAGCTATTATTAATATTTAATAAACCAAAATTTAAGCTCACTGCAAAGCTGTAAATCCTTACAGATGCAGATTGCCTCATCTTTTTTCCATGCAGCAGCTGGTGCATGGTTTGAACTGCCAACCTTCTTGTTAGCAACCAAATGCCTTAACCACTATACCACCAGAGCTCATTAATACTTAATTGCCACCATTGTGTCAGGTAGCTTAAAGTATAATATCTCATTTAATCATCACCTTGTGAGTTAGGTATCATCTTCTTTTTACTAAAGAGAAAACGAAGAGCAGAATGGTAAAATAACTTGCCCAAAGTCAAACAGGTGGTAAATTGTGAAGCCAGGATTCAAATCTAGGATTGTTTTACTCCAAAGACGACTGTAACTTTTATACAATTTTTTTCTCTACATTATTGTTGTGAGTAAGGTAGCATGGGGAATGCAATTCAGACCCGAACATCCAGAATTAACATAATTAATATCTTACCATAGTTATTTTTAAGGAGTTCTGGTAGTATAGTGGGTAAGGCATTTGGCTGCTAACTGAAAGTTTGGCAGTTCAAACCCATCAGCTGCTCCATGGGAGAAACATGAGGCAACCTACTTTCATAAAGATTTACAGCCTTGGAAACTCAGTGGGGGTTGATATTGGTAAGAATCGACTCAATGGCAGCGAGTTTGTTTTTTTGGTTTTATGCCCTTTCTACTCAAATGGTTCAACTTTGGACAAGTTTGTTCATTCTCTTGTATCAAGAGCTTCTGAATTTGTGTTATGGGGAAAAAATGCCTTTCTCATAAGGTTACCTTGAAAATTAAATGAGAAAATGTATTTAAAATACTTATATAGTGTCTGCTGTTGTTGTTGATGTGTGCTGTGGAGTCAGCCCCAACTCATAGCGACCCCTCCTTGGGTTTCCGAGGCAGTATCACTACAGAAGTAGGATTGCCCAACCTTCCTTCTGAGGAGTGGCCGGTGGGTTTAAACCACCAGCCTTCTGGTTGGCAGTCAAGTGCCTTAGGCACTATGCTACCAGAGCTCCCTACATAGTGTCTGGTACATAGTAAATGTTCCATAAGTGGAGATAGTTATGTTTATTATTAAACATAACTCAAGTAGAGTACATCTACTTTTTAAAAAATATAGCCTTCTTCTAGGATAACCAACAATCCCAATGTGTCTGAGACTGTCCCAGTTTTAAAAATGAAAGTCCTACATCCATTGCCATTAGGAATGTAAAATGATGAAGTTGCTATGGAAAACAGCTTGGCAGTTCCTCAAAAAATTAAACAGCGTTTCCTAAGAACGACCAGAGAAGTACTGCAGAAGATAAATAATGAAACCAAATTGCGGAAGGCAAAATAGGAAGTGAAGAAATGGGAGTACTGAGTAATTTAGAACTTTGTAAGAAAGTACAAATATTTATCATTGTCATTATCATGATCATCATTATCATAATCACAAGAAAGCATGTATGAGGCCCCCTCAAATTCCTGATTTCAATTAAATATGCATAAAAGTATGAATGTATTTACCTGTTTTTCACAAGCCAGTAGTCTTTTCCATTAAGGTTCCCATAGCCAACCACCAGTACGCCATGATTCACATTTTGAGTACAGGATGGCTCATGGTAGACACCTGAAAATAAAATATGGGTGGAGAAAAAGAGTGAATGGTATGTAACAATGAAGGACATTTGAAAATACGGTTAGTTTTTATTAGGCTGCTTTGGATATAACACAAGGCTAAAATGTTTGGAGCATATGTTCTCATGCCTAAACTATTTAAAGTTCATAATTCTTCACCATCAATGCTATATTCATCAGCTTTCTTGCTGAGTTTGGCACCAATCCAATCATGGTTTCCTCAGATATTTTCTTTGATAACCTGTCACCTTTTCATAATTATTAAAAAAAAATTATGTACACTCAGTTATTATATTTATTTGTATATATTCCTAAATTGTTTGTTTCATATATTTTCATCTTTTAGCAGATGAAATGCTGTTTAAGGTGAAGTTTTAAAAAAGATTTTAGCCTTCTGTTTTGTCCAGTACAATACTCTATCCTTAGTATAGGAGCTCCCCTGGTGCAGTGGTTAAAACATTGGGCTGCTAACCAAAAAAATCAACAATTCAAACCCATCAGGTGCTCCATGGGAGAAAGATGAGGCAGTCTGCTTCCATAGAGATTTACAGCCTTGGAAACCCTATGGGGCAGTTCTACTCTGTCGTATAGGGTTGCTACGAGTCAGAATCAACTCAGTGACAACAGATTTGGGTTGGTTTACTCCTAGTGTATGTTCAGTAAATGTGTTATTAAGTTTATATAGTTATGTATAATTTTCTAAGCCTCATCTTAAAAAAAAATTGTTAAGTGCTCTTGTACACAGTTGTGCTACACCTGCACTACACAGTCTCCATAGTGGTTGTAAGCATCAGTTGGGTAGCATTGTTTTTAATCCTGGTTCTACCCTTTCCAAACTGAGGCAAGTTTGCCTCTCTAAGGCTTAGCTTTTACATCTGTAAATTAGGGTTAGTGTAAGAAGTAAATGAGATAATGCATGTTAAGAATTTAGCATAGCACATGGTATTCAGTGTTAATAAATATTGAATGTTATTTCACTAATTAGAATGGTGTATAAAAACCCCCCACCACTCATCTATCAGTTTGTTCTACTATGGTGGTTTGTGTGTTGCTGTGAGGCTGAAGGCTATGCCACTGATATGTCAAATACTAGCAGGGTCACCCATGGTGGACAGGTTTCAGTGGAGCTTCCAGACTCAGAAGAAGGAAGGGGCCATACACTACTCAAAGAATTGGCCAGTGAAAACTTTTTGAATAAAAGTGAAAAACTGTCTGATATATTACTGGAAAACTTTATGAATAGCCCTGAAACAGTGTCTGATATAGTGCCAGAAGAGGAGCCCCTCAGGATGGAAGGCATACAAAATATGACTGGAGAAGAGCTGCCTCCTCAAAGTAGAGTTGACTTTAATGATGTAGATGGAGTAAAGCTTTTGGGACCTACATTTGCTGTTGTGGCACAACTCAAAATGGGAAGGAACAGCTGCAAACATCCATTAATAATCAGAACGTAGAATGTATGAAGTATGAACCTAGGAAAACTGGAAGTTGTAAAAAAATGAAATGGAACACATAAAGATCGATATCATAGGCATTAATGAGCTGAAATGGACTGGTTTTGGCCATTTTGAATCAGACAACAATGTGATCTACTATGACAGGAAAGACAAATTGAAGAGGAATGTTGTGGCATTAATTGTCACAAAGAATGTTTCAAGATCTATCCTGAAGTACAATGCTGCCAGTGATAGAATAATACCCATACACCTAGAAGGAAGACCAGTTAATACTACTATTATTCAAATTTATACACCAACCACGAGGAAACTGAAGATTTTTTCCAACTTTTGCAGTCTAAAATTGACCAAACATGCAATCAAGATGTGTTGATTATTACTGGTGACTGGAATGCAAAAGTTAGAAACAAAGAAGCGTCAGCAGTACTTGGAAAATATAGCCTTGGTGACAGAAATGATGTCAGAGATCACATCATAGAATTTTGCAAGACCAATGACTTATTCATTGCAAATACCTTTTTTCAACAATATAAGCACCAGCTATACACTGGACCTTGCCAGATGGAATGTACAAGAATCAGATCAACTACGTCTGTGGAAAGAGATGATGGAGAAGCTCAATATCTTCAGCAAAAACAAGGCCAGGAGCTGACTCTGAAACAGACCATCAATTGCTCATATGCAAGTTCCAGTTGAAGCTGAAGACAATTAAAACAAGTCCACGAGAGCCAAAATATGACCTTGATTATATCCCACCTGAATTTAGAGACCATTGGAGGAATAAATTTGATTTATTGAACACCAATGACTGAAAACCACACAAATTGTGGGGTGACATCAAGACATCATCCATGAAGAAAGCAAAAGGTCATTGAAAAGACAGGAAAGGAAGAAAAGACCAAAATAGTTATCAGAAGAGACTCTGAAAGTTGCCCTTGAAATGGCAAGTAGCTAAAGCAAACGAAGAAAGGACAAGATAAAAGAGCTGAACAGAAAATTTCAAAGAGCAGCTCAAGAAGACAAAGTCAATTATTATAATGAAATGTTCAAACACCTGGAGTTAGAAAACCAAAAGGGAAGAACATATTCAGCATTTCTTAAGCTGAAAGAGCTGAAGAAAAAATTCAAGCCTCAAGTTGCAATATTGAAAGACTCTGTGGGCAAAATACTGAATGGGGCAGGAAGCATCAAAAGAAAATAGAAGGAGATCCAGCAAGATGGCGGACTAGGCAGAAGGACTGCACAGAAGCTCTTCAACAAAGAAAAGGGAAACCAATTAACACAGACACAGAAGATAATCTTGGAACCCTGAGCATTGAAGGGAAGGATACGAAAGTGGACTAAACCCCAACTAGCAGAAGAATTTGGGTGAAAATACCAAAAAAGGAGACACACGGAGCTGCAGTCTGGCAGCAGCCTGAGCAACCCTGACGGCACAGACGACAGGGCTTGGAGATTCCCGAGTGGTAGTAGGACCTAAGAATTAACCTAAAAATCACCCTGCTAGCCAGGGACTGCATGGAAGACTGTGCACGGTGGCCGG